ATACACTGAACAAAATTATAAACGCAACACTTTTGTTTTTGCCCCCATTTTTCATGAGCTGAACTCAAAGATCTAAGACTTTTTCTATGTACACAAAAGGCCTATTTCTCTCAAATATTGTTCACAAATCTGTCTAAATCTGTGTTAGTGAGCACTTCTCCTTTGCCGAGATAATCCATCCACCTCACAGGTGTGGCATATCAAGATGCTGATTAGACAGCATGATTATTGCACAGGTGTGCCTTAGGCTGGCCACAATTAAAGGCCACTCTAAAATGTGCAGTTTTACTGTATTGGGGGGTCCGGGGGGGGCCGAAAACCAGTCAGTATCTGGTGTGACCATGAAAAATGGGGGCAAAAACAAAAGTGTTGCATTTATAATTTTGTTCAGTGTATGTATGTATATATATATATATATATATATATATATATATATATATTAATAATAGTTATTTTTGACAGTTTGAGCACTTTTTAAATGTGTTGTAGCTTTATAATTGAATGAAAATGGAAGCAAACAAATGGTTTTGGGTCGGAAAGGGGGTTTCAAGTATCAAAAAACTAAAAGTGTAATGTATTTAAAATGACTTTTGTTAATTTAATTTGATGTGGACACCAAAATGGTGACGTCTCGTCTTTGACCCTTTTATATTGTTGTTGTTGCTGCTTTTATAACGTTTTCATCACTTTTTATGATGAAATGTAAATTAATTAATTAATTAAATAAATTATAGGCTAAATTGAATATTTGTGTTTTTTTAGAAATAATAATATATGAAATATTATTTTTGTAAATAATATGAAAATATAAAATAGGTTATAATTAAAAAATATCATTATACGCACTTACAGGTGTTGTAGCTTTATGATTAAATTAAAATAACTAAATGATCTTTTCTGGATTAATGAATTAATCAATCCAAGAAAGCTCAACTGAATATTTTTTGTGTTTTCAAAGGTTTTTTTTGATGTTTTACTAGATTGAATCAGCTGATCTGATGTTGATGTTTGCTCATTAGGTTTCCTCTTGGACTTCATCTCACATCCAGTAATTAAAGGCTTCACCTGTGCTGCGGCCGTCACCATCGGCTTCGGCCAGGTCAAGGTCAGAGTCTCACAGTCACTTACACCTCCTGCCTTTTCATTTGCATGTTTCTTAAATGTCCTTGAAGATCTTTGAAGAGTTGTGTCAATCAGCCTCATTTGTTGTGCAGAATATTCTGGGTCTGAAGGAGATCCCACAGCAGTTCTACTTACAGGTTTACTACACCTTCCACAAGATACCTGAGGCCAGGTGAGCACACTGACCAATGAGCTTTCACCATTTTGCTAATTCCTATTGTGTTAAATCCTCTTGTCTAAGCGTGTATCTCAATCATCTGTGTTCTCAGAGTTGGAGATGTGATTCTGGGTCTGTGCTGTCTGTTCTTCCTGGTCATGTTGACGCTGATGAAGAATTCTCTGGGTTCGTCTGAACACGAGGCCTCTCTCCTCGTCCGATCTGCCCGAAGGCTGGTGTGGAGTTTAGCTACTAGTGAGTGCTCAAAAAAGTCTTGTGAATCTATAATGTAACCGACAGATATTTATACATATTTCTTGTGTCGCAGTGCGGAACGCTCTGGTCGTCATAGCAGCGACGGGTGTTGCATATTCCGCAGAGGTCACCGGTCACCATTTCTTCAGTCTCACTGGAAAAACTGCCGAAGGACTGCCTCCGTTCAAAGTCCCGCCCCTTTCAGAAACAGTAGCCAATGGCACGGTGATTACTTTCAGTGACATTGCAAAGGTGAGCGATAGTAGAGTAGTTTTTGATGGCAAGGACCCCCACCAAAAAACCAACCTCAAAAAAATCAAATACTGCATGTTTATATTAAGAAATGCATTATTAAATGATTATTTTTAATTATAATTAAATTATTGTCAGTAGATTGAGATAATCATGATTTTTTTTTTTGTGTGTGTACAAATGTTTAAGAATGCTATAATACAATTATATTTAGTTTTAATTTATACTTAAGAATATAAATTATTTGAGGCACATAAACACGTTTAAAATTATAATATATATATATATAAAATGTCAAATGGATATAAAAAATATTTAAATATTAATTCAATATAAATAAAACCTAAAAAGAAAATGTATAGAAATACAATTCGAAAAATAAATAAAATAATAAAAATAAATCGTATAATAATATAGTAAAATTATCAAGATTATTCTGTTGTTTGTAAGAATGTTTAAAAGATGATCTACTGCAATTATATTAATACAATTATATGTAATTTTCTTAAGAATGTCAATTATTAGAGGCATCTGAAACACATTTAACATTGTTGTATATGTTGTATTTGAATATTAATTTAATATAAATAATCTTAAAATGATGTATATGTATATATACTTTATACATAAACTTTTTATATACAAAAATGAAATGCATTCAATTTATAAAATAATAAACATAAATTGTAAATAGGTTAGAATAATCATTATTATTCTGTTGTTTGGAAAATAATACCCCAAAAATTAATTTTTCTTTCACCATTAAATGTGAAGTTAAGTATAAAGACATCCATATATTTTCTGAATATATAAACACCCATTGATATTGTGTAAGAAAAAACATATAATTATCCTTATAATGTAATATATTGTTATAAAGATAAAATGTTTTTCTATAAACAAAAATGTAAACTATTTTAAATATTTATGAAAATGTTTTATATATTCTTTATATTATATTATTATAAAAAATGAATACCATTGTACTAAAGCCAAAAATAATTCAATCGATTTTTCTAATGACTTTTTTCTATGCACTATTAATGTCAGATCTATAAACCTTCAAATTAGAAAATACATTTGTTTTTATTTCTTAATGTTAAAAACTAGGGCCATTGTTCTATCAACAGAATAATCAAATATTTTATAATAATACATAATATAAAAATAGTCAATATTTTAAAAAGCACCCTGTAGCACCCCCTCGTGGCCTCCTCATGGTCCTTGGACCCCAGAAAATTGAGCTGTCACGTAATAGTATAATACTAGTAAAGTATATGTGACAATTTAGAGATTTTAAGTAGCCAATCTAGTGGAATAGTGATCATTACTGACCAATCAGGTGTGTTTTCTCAGGACTTAGGCGGCGGTCTGGCTGTCATTCCTTTAATGGGCGTCTTAGAGAGCATCGCTATTGCAAAGGCATTCAGTAAGAGCTTCAGAGTGTCCTTAACTGTATATCTGTATTCTTTATATACCAACACAGATGCTGTTTGGACACATTTTACACTCTTTTCTCCGTGCAGGCAGCAAGAATAACTACCGAATTGATGCCAACCAAGAGCTCTTTGCCATCGGTGAGAGTTTCTCCTTGCTTATGAAGTTTTAACAGAGCGTGAATCGGTCGTTTCTCATTATAATGTTGTTTTTGCAGGTCTCACAAACATCTTGGGCTCGTTCGTGTCGGCGTATCCCGTCACGGGCAGCTTCGGAAGGTCCATCTGCAAGCTCAACGCCAGGACTAAAGTGTCTGTTGGTTTATTCTTCACTTTCTAAGTGTTTTTATGTCTTGCTTTCTGACAGAACCGCTGTGAACTCTCAAACCGGAGTGTGTTCACCTGCTGGAGGGATCGTCACAGGTGACACACACACACACTCTTTGCCATCAGGCTGTCATTTAAAATGTGGAGAGCGTCTGAAAGTCTGTGTTTTTGGGCAGGTGTTATAGTGCTGCTGTCGCTGGCGTTCCTCATGCCGCTCTTCTTCTACATCCCTAAAGCTTCGCTCGCTGCCGTCATCATCTGCGCCGTCAGTCCCATGATGGACTTCAGAGTGCCAGTCCAGCTCTGGAGAGTCAAGAGTGAGACTTTACGCCACATATTCAAACAAGGAAACATGTTTAAATATATACAACATTTATTCTTGTTGAAATCTCGTTGTTTCTCTCAGGACTTGATCTGCTGCCGTTCTTGGTGACGTTTGTGGTCAGTTTCTGGGAGGTGCAGTATGGCATTGTGGGAGGTGTGGTGGTTTCTGGTTTCATGCTGTTGCACATCGTGGCCAGACCCAAAGTGAAAGTGAGTTGCAAGTGCATTTTTTTATGAAATAGCTGTATATGATAAATGCAAACTGTGAGCTGTAAATGAAAGACTTTTATTCTAGAAATCCACTTTCTGTTTGAGTTTTAGCATGTGTGCTAGTAGAAATCACCATAAAATCGACAATTTATGCAAAATGTCTTAAAAGCGTAGTCTCAAAAAAACTAATAAAGTGTGATAATATTAATAAGTTATTAATTTGATAATTGGACTGTTAGTAGATTGAAATAGTCATGACATTTTTTTTTTTTAATGTTTAAAAAAAATTATACAATACATTTCTATTTAATTAAAATATATAATAAAAATATAAATTATTTGAAACCTTTAACCCTATGTTGTATATAATATATATATATAATTTAAATATTACAAATAATTAGAATATACATATCAATTACGTAAAATATTCTATCATAAAAATAATCTATCATCTATCCATATATCTAATATAAATGTATATATTTTTTATTACATCAAATATTATTGATTTTTGTATTGAAAAATGCATTTAGTTGTTGAAAGTATATTATAAAATATAAAATATAATTAGTATTTACATATCAGTCAAGTAAAAATATCTATCTAGCTGATATAAATATGTATTTTTAAATATATAAATATTAAAAAGAATATTCATTTTTGAATAGAATAAAGTAAATGCATTTTACCTAAAAAAAAAACTACATAATAACTTTAAACTTTCAGTTTAGTTCATAATAACATAATAAAATATTTTTATATCCCAAAACGTTCAATGCACTTCTGTTGCTGTAAGTAGAATTGAATAATGATTCTGTTCAAGTATTTTTCTGTTGTTTTGGGAAAAAATACATAATTTCTTTACCAATGTGAAATGAAGTGTGATGTATGAAAATGGCACTCGCTGTAAAATGACTCCCATGCAGCAGTCAGTCAGGTTTGTGTGTCTGTGTTCAGGTGTCTGATCACGGCGTGCTGCTTCTGGAGCTGGACAGTGGGCTGAACTTCCCCGTGACGGAGCATCTCAGCAGACTCGTGTACAAACACGCACTTCAGGGTGAGACACACACACACACACACACACACACACACAGATGTCTCTCCACACACAGACACAATTTCAATCCCGCGGCTGATGTCCTTGAGTGCTCATGGTCTTGTGTCTGTGGTCTTCTGTCAGTGTCTCCTCGGCGCTGTCTGGTTCTGGACTGTGCTCACGTCAGCTCTATAGACTTCACTGTCGTCCATGAACTGACCGAACTGCTCAAACAGTTCGAGCTGAGGGGAGTATCCATGATCTTCGCCGGACTAAAGGTAGAGTTTAACATCAACAGACATGTGTAGGCATGCCAAAGACATTCACAATTACAGCTGCCAAAGTTGTTATTTATGAAATTAAGATAATAATTAAGTAATCAATTCTTAAAAATAAAACATTTAATTTAGATATTAGAATATTAATATATTAGTTAGTATATTATTTAAATTATATATGTATATAATTGGTAATGTTTCTTTTTTACTCTGTAAAAAATGGAATAATCATGATTATTTTAACCCATTTTTACAGCTTTTAAAAATATATAAATATTCTATTTATGAAAAAGAATGTATTATTTGAGGCATTTGAAACACATTTAGCATATATTATGTATAAAAAATATATTTTTATGCATACAACGTTTAATATATATATATATATATGATAAAATATTAATAAAGATAAATATAATAAGCTAAATATATTTTAAGTAGATTAAAAAATCATAATAATTATTCTATTGCTTGAATCAAATACATGTAAAATAATTCAAATGAAAATTACAAATATAAAAAAGACATACAATTGTATATTTAAAAAAAGGCATAAAACATAAATATTATATTTTATAATTAAGATGATGTATTATTTGAGGCATTAAAAACATTTAACATTATACTGTGTATAGAAAAATATAACTATTATTTTTATAAGTGCGTTTATGCATTTGAATATATACAGTTAAAATACAAATTACTAAACATTTATAAATATTATGTAAATATACATAAATCTAAATATGAAAATAAATAGATTAGAAGATTCAACTTATTCTTATATGAATACATGTGAATATCATCTTGTTTGAAAAAATACAACATAAAATGAAAAATGTAATGTAATAAATATATTTATATTATATTTAATGAGAATTATACATATGAATATAACCCATTTCAGTCATTTGAAATACAATTAACATTATACTGTGTATAAAAAGATAGATGTAATTTTTTCTTTGTATAGTTATTTATAATCTCTCTTTTCCTCTCTCTCTCTCTCTCTCTCTGTGTGTGTGTGTGTGTGTGTGTGTCTCAGCCGTAAGTATTGAAGGTGTTGTTGTCGGCTGATCTTCCTGGTTTCAGACATACAGACAGAGTAGACGAGGCATTGCAACTTCTGACCAGTATCATCAACAATTCTAACAGCCAATAACAAGCAAGAACAGATTGTGTGGCTTTGAGCCAATCAGCATCTGAATACTTCAAACCCTCTGATGATTGGTCACCTGAAATATTCTGCGTACACTTTTGACCAATCAGCACTCAGGAAGAGAGACTTTGATAAAAACTGATGGGGAACAAAGTTACATAATGTTTGTGTACATGATGACCAAATAATGCTTTTGCACTTAAAACTATATTTATGTAGTTTGTTTTGTATTTTGTTTTAAACTCTGAATCTCAGGTATGAGATTGTCATTTTATGAACATGCACTTTTTCTCAACACTAGAAAGAGTCAAATCTTTAGTATTTTGGGTTAAAAAGCGCTACAAATCTGATGGGTCTCACAAAGCCTAAAATATATTACATTAATCCAAATAATTTCTCTGTAGTTTACAGTAGTACTTTTACATGTTTAGTGTGTTTACATTTATTTTTTGATGATGAAACTGAACTCTTTTGGACTGTCAAAGATGAAACAGACTCTAACACGAAATGTCTCTTTTGATATTAAATTGATATGATCTAGAATGGCTACGCTTGGAATATTTTCTTATAAATATCCAAATTATTATACATAAATATTCAAATATCTTTTGATATAAAAATCTATATTCACACCTTATTAGTAAATTATATATATAAATGTATATTATACATAGCCTACGCACACACATATAAATACATATATATTTACACTTGCCTTTTCAATGTGTAGCCTATGTGGACAACATCCGGATTCAGGTCGCATGTTAATGCCAAGTGTAAACGCAGCCTTATCATATTCAGTGGCGTCAAACACCCTCGGCAGCTGCGATTTTACGCCCTTGAGTGGGTTTGTTCACTATATAGGTTAATTTGGGTGTTAATAGTGTACGTCACATGGTGTGTGTGTTCACACTCGAGGTGGCAGCAGCTGTGTTGAATCTCACTCCGGCTTCTCGAAAGGCTGCACATATGGAGTGCCAAATATAGCACGACTGCATGCTAAAACTGGAGCCGAACTGTGAACTTATTTGACACTAGGCTGAAGGATCACATGAGGTTTCTACTGAGAAAGAGAGGATGGGAAGTTGACTTGGAAATAATAGTCTTGTTAATCCTATCTTTATTTTAATTGATTTTAAACTTTTCTAATCTAAAACTTTTCGAGCACTGTTGATTTAGATTTGATATGCACTGGTAAAATAAGTATCTTAGCCCCCAAACACACTAGAATGTTATATCATTTTTGTAATTTAGATGTTTACAGACTATCATATATATATATATATATATATATATATATACACAAACCTAATACAATTTTTTCAACAAGAAAATGCCTCCTTATTTTCACGCTACGTAAATGCACGATTTGGCTGAGGCATACATTTTTTTGTTTATGCAAAGTCAAACAAGGACGGAAATAAAAATAAGTAAAAAAAAAAAATGTAAATAAATATGAACTATATTCTCAATACACAATTTCATTTTATTTTGTTTTATTGACACCAAGGGTTTTACATTATGAGAGTTTTATTAGTTTTCAATAAGCTTACACAATTAATGTAGGCTATTTAAAAGTCATTTGTATGCCAAGTCAAGCAAGGACAGACAGAATAAAAAAAAAACGTTTTTTAATTAAATATTAAATGATATTAAATGCTAATTATATACAGTCAAAAATATTAGGCCTATTTGTAATTTTATTTACATTAAAGGTTGAATGTTATTGGCAAAATTGATATTTTACATACTTAAAAAAAAAAGGTTATTTTCTGTAAAAACAATAAAGGGCGGATTCAATGACATTAAACTAATAGTTTTCCTTTTTTCATCACATTTTAGCGCAACTGTCGTCACTGTCATGTGACGACCAGCAGAGGGCGTCGCGTCTCGAGGGCGGGAATTGAACGTTCCCCTCTCTTTCTCTGATTGGCCAGCAAGGAGCCTGACGGAGCGGGGCGGGTCCTTCGCGGGGTATCTCGCCCTCTGATTGGGCAGGCGGATCTAGAGTGACTGGAGCGCAGCAGCAGAGAATCACAGCAGCACAAACCCACTGCGCTCATGGCATCAAGGAGAATGGAGACCAAACCAGTCATTACCTGCCTCAAAACGCTGCTCGTCGTCTATTCCTTCGTGTTCTGGGTGAGTGACCCTCATTCGTTAGCGTTTTTGAGCGTTTAATGTTTCTGCGGCATGTTGTGAAGCCTTTAAAGTGATTTGTTACCATAATAAGGCGTTTGTTGCCATAATAAGGCGTTTGTTGCAATATTGCGCCACTGGAAAACAAGTGCATCTCCATCATGGCAGGGCTGGACCCCTCTGAGGCCATTGAAAACACGAATATGATTCTGTATGTCACTGATCCTGATCAAGAATATGATAGACAATGTGCATTTCAAGTCAAATTATGAAAATGTTAAAAACTTATAATGTTGATGTTCATGATGATGATGATGTTGGACATGATTCATAATGAATTAATATTAATGTTCATTTGCAGAGCATTATTCCTGATTAATTGAATATTAATGTCCAGAAATGGACATATGCACAGCATTCTAAATTGTTAATTGAATATTAATGTTCAAATATGAGCATATCCTGGACATTAATAATTATAATTTAAATATGAATGCCCAAATATGGACATAAGCTGAATATGATGAATCATAAATTGAATATTAATGACCAAACATGGACATTTGCTGAATATTATTGACCAAATCTCAACCACAGACATTTAAATTATAAATAAAATATTCATGTCCAAAAATGAACCGCTTCTAGACATTTAACATGTTTATTAGGGTTGCACTGACCTTCATCTCTGTCATATGAAGCAAACCTCTGCATCCTCATTTTTTTGTAATGAACACGATGGCTGTTGAAGTCATTTGGATAGTAAGGGTTAACTGTGACATGGCACCGCCCCGGTAACGCTCGGTGTGTAAGGACTGATCCAACTATCATTCGTTTGATTTTTTTTTTGTATTTTCAGTATTAATAGTAACACTTTATAATATAAGTTTCAGAAATGTGTATAAGAACATTAGGTAACTGTTCATTCACATTTCTTGCACAGACATGAAGTCTGGCTCTCGTTTCAGCCTCATCTGCCCAAAAACCACCCATTTAGACCGGAAGAGACCGTCTGACTGACATGTGAAGCATCCAATCACAGTTTGTTTCGTTTTTCTTGTCAGTTAGGGGAGGATTTCTTAAATATGTGATGCAACAATTAAAGACCAGCTTTCCAAGATTTGATGCTACTAACCTGGCAAACTTTGGCAAATCTGATGAACAGACTAAGGCTGGGAATAGATACTTTGATTTGACTTTGAAATGGGCAATATCTGTATATGTAGGCTACGTTTTTGTATGTACTAGAGCCCGACCGATATGGGTTTTTTGGGGCCGATACCGATATTAGGGAGTTAAAAAATTATATTATTTGTGTATATTATAGTACTGTATGTACGTTGAATCTTTTCAACATCATGTAGGCTAATGTTTGGTAATGACTAATACAATATATTGTAAAGTGTTTTTGCAATAGTTTTGTGGGCGAAGTAAGGCAGTAGCCTGAAGAAATTATTTGTTAAGAATTAGATAAATGTTCCATTTTATCATAAATTATTCAAATAAGATGGGAAAATGGGCCAAATAATTGAGCACATGTTCTATTTGATGTGATGAATTACTGTACAATCAACACGATTCATTAAAAATCTTCTGCATACCAATTTGACCTCAGATGTCAATTTAAATCTCATGTGATTTTAACTAAGAATTACAACCAAATATTTAAGAAATGTGAAAGTTTAGGAATTGAAAACCCCATTGCAATCTGAATATTTGATGATTGTCTGAGGGAATTTTGCATTGATTTGTTATATTGCTTTTATTTTTCTTGATTGAGTCCTTTGTGAGATTTTCAGGTTCATAGATTGCATTCTTTTTTGGGCTTCAAATGACTCTTTAAATGTCAACTCGCATATAGTCAGACAATGATGCATGATGGGAAATTCCAGAAATGAACATTGAAACAGGGGTCAAAATTGGCATATTGCACTCTGTGTTGTATCTGATTGTACCTGTTTTGAGCTGAAGCCGTGTTTCTTCACAGGAGTCTGGGCTTCAGATCTCATGTAGGTCTCATCTCTAAACGCTCTGGGTTTGTGTCAGTAGGTAACCGTCTCCATCACATTTCCTTCTGTGCTCACTGGAGCTTCATTAATGCAGTGTGGCACATTCGCCACCAACCAGTGGCTGATTAGCTCTCTGCCCATCTGTAATCCCACTCGGTACAGTGATTAAGTGCCTGACGCAAATTTAGGCCGTCTGGACCGTAACGCAGTGTATTTCTACTGTAGACCTCAGAGTAGACGCCATATTTGTTTGACAAAAACAATACGTCGAGTTCTGCCTCTCATAGCCTCATTTTCATTCAGGTTACATATGATTTAAAATGTATAAATCCATTTAATCAAGAATCAAACTCATAGGATTGAATTTGCGAAACAATTTTGCAGTTATGCAAGTAGTATTTCAGCATTTTATGTTGAATACATTGTGTCATTTACGTTGTATGTTAAGTTCTGCCTCTCATAGCCTCGTTTCCATTCAAATAAAATCCAAACTGTCTATTATGACTAAAGTTTGTACAGTCTGAACCTTTTAATCTAGAATCAAACTCGTAGGAAAACAATTTAGCACTTTTGCAAGTAGTACATAAGCGTGAAGCATTATAAACAGGCATACACTGAATTGTGAGTCGTTTGTAAATGAGACTATTTACGAACGACTCACAATTCAGTTGATTTCTGAGTTCTGACATTTCTGATGCACTGAAATAGCGTACTTTTATTGCTTAATCATCATTTTTCATCAAAAATACGCCTCCTTGTTTTTTATATAATTGCGCAATTTGCCTAACGCTGTAATATTTTTGGTTAAAAGAGTCATTTATTTACATTTCCTCATTATGGCATCAAATGTCTGAAGTATGATCTAAAACGTCTATTATGACTAAAATTCTAACTGTTTAATCAAGAATCAAGCTCACAGGAGCGAATTCGCTACAAAATTCAGCACTTTCGCAAGTATTTCCGCGCAAACCCTTGTCTCTTATTTACAAACGACTCACAAATCAGTTTACGTCTGCATTAAATGCAGTAAAATAATATACTTTTAAGTAATTGTTTTGTTTTTTTTTCAGCACGAAAATGCCTCCTTATTTTCACGCTACGTAATTGCACGATTTGGCTGAGGCATTAATTTTTTTTGTTTAAAAGAGACATTTAGGCTATATATATTTCCTTGTAATTATGGCAGCAGTAATTTGTCAAATGATGGAGAAGAGTGTTATCTCTAATATATATTTGGAAAAGATGCGATTATTTAAGTGCACTTTGGCTTTTTAAAGAGACGAATCAGGTGCAACCAAACATGGGAGCAAAGTCTTTAAACAATTTAGTATTTTCACAAGTAGTATTTCAGCACAAACCCTTGTGCCTTATTTACTAAACATTCAC